TCATCTTGTTGCAATCCAGCTTTCTCCTGGGAGACCTATGATCCTGGGAATCACATGGACATTTTTTGACCCACAACACCCATATAAACTACAGACTCAAAATCACCTGTGCAGCAGCACTCTGATCACCAGTACAAAGCTCCCCTATTACACTCCAGTAATGGATTGTTTTTATTTTAGCACATGCTAAATTGCTAAAATGGAAAATTACCAGAAAAAAGAAGATGACACATTCAAATTATTCTTTTAAAATCAGTTATTTTCATGAACAATCACATAGTGTGTGCTGCAATTCAAAGAAACAACCTGTTTCCTTTCCTTCTATAAAAATGCTAACATACACACTTGGCTAACAGGGTGTGTTGTCAAAGTATGTAGCAATCATGAAGCTATAATTTTTAGAAAATAAAAGGTTTATTTATTCAAATATTTTAATTGTGTTTGGTATAAACTGACTGATCTTTTAAATAACTTGCATTATTTTTGATGTTGTTATTTTATTCCAGACTTTTTATTTTTCTCAGTGGGTTTTTTTTATATATTGTCTGTTTATATAAGTTTGCTTGATGGTTACATGACCACTGCTAAATGTAAAAATGTGATAGATAAAGAAATCTTTGATCCTTGATAAAGGTAGCATTGACGCGCCGTGTTATTATTTAGAGAAATCAAACAGCTTTTATAAAAGCTACCATACAGATACTGCAGTCACTTCACTGAGTTTCCTTTCAAAGTTTCAGAGTTTGGCCACAACCCTGATCTCAGTATCATGAAGGACGACAAACTGAGAAAGTGCTGAAACCTACAGAAACAAACTGTGCACTGATGCTTTCTCTCATCTCATCACGCTGAAAAAAAGAATATTGGGGGGCCTGAAGATACACACTTCGCTATGTTGACAATATAAATTAGACGTCCTCAGTGGTGGTACTGACTGATGATCATCTTACACAACTTTCACTGAATTCATAATGTCTGCTACATGGAGAACATCTGTTTAGAGGACAATCAGCTTAAGCAGATCTTTTTGATTGCCTTTGATGTGTCTGAAATTTGTAATGTTTACCAGAAAGTCAGCATTTGGTAGCAAAAACATTTTCAACTAACCCCAAGAATCTTACTTGAAATGTGACTTTTCTTTTCTCTTCAATACCACTGCTGCTTCCACTGATACTGTTAGAACAAGCAATAACAGTAATAGTAATCTCTAATTATCTTGCCCCTATGTAAAATGTTTTTTGAAAGTGCAAGTCGAGGTCAGGGTGTGGAGGCAGCGCCACCTGCAGCTCCAGTATGTTTGGCATTCATCTTTCAACAACAGACACCCATATTGCTCTTTGTTATACATGTATCCTAAGGCTTTCAGCCGTCAAACACCTCTGACATCGCCAATCAATCAGCCTTGACCTAAGAGCCAATTGTCAGAGAAATATCAATCACATGCAGAAAAATAAGCGGACGGAAACTAAATGAGGTCAACTCTCCACAGACTGTCTGAACTTCCATTTGTATGGACATAAATTACAAGTTGCTCACACAGCCAACGGAAACATTCATGATTTTCTTTTCCACTGCTGCTTTCTGAGTAACATGAAATAACCTGATCACACAAACATCTGATGAAACAGAGTGAAAGAAGGTGGTAAGTTTATTCAAACTTACATCTCCACCACTTCTCTATATTCAAATACCCGACCAAGGTATTAAAAACAGAGAAGAGGCAGGAGAAACTGTGAAAACCTTCACAGGACTACTTAAATGGATCCTGTGGCTGTAACCAAGCTGTTGTGCCTTTGGCTGCTGGGGAAGCAACAACTTTGCACTAATCTGACTTTATCTTCGATATTGATTTGGTTTACCTCAGTGTGCCGGGCTGAACTTAAACCAAACTTTAGAATGGATTTTTGCATCAGAAGTTTCTTCTCAGCTTATCATCATCTCTTCAAAGCACATTTGGGTCATTGGGGATTTTTGGTGTTATAGTAAAATAATATTTTATTATCACATTTTATAGTGGTTGTACCTGCAGCGTTGTTAAGCTGTTGATTTTATGGTTCTGGGCAAACTTGTCAGATAATATTATTTGACACTACTTCCAAGTCATAGTTGTATCTCTATGTATTGTTAAATATCATGATTGTATCGTCTACTATAAAACCACAACTGACAAAAGATCTTGGGGATAATTTAGAAACAGTGTTACTGCCAAACATTTTCACAAACATACTCAAAAATATACTTTGTTGTGTTAGTGCCATCACACAGGACAATGAAAGAAGACAGCAATCTTTTAAAAAGGTGGAAAGTCTGCAGCAGGAAGTCAGAGGGTCAAGAACAGGGAAACCTGGAAGTTTATTGACTGGGGACAGCAGTTTATACTGTGCTTAGGAGCATTTGCTTTTAGGTTTTAGACTTGAATACCAAAATCTAAGAAAGACATTAGGATTTAAATATCCTCCTGTACAACACTGAGTCCAAAAATGAATGCTTATCCAGTTTGTTCAAACATTATTATAATATTGTTATAAACACTGTCACAACACCTTAAGTGTAACAAATGAAAAATTAACAATTCATTAAACTTTACCTAATTTTTTAAAATGTATTTTACAGTCTGACAGTAAAATGGTAATATTTTGAAACTGGATAATACCTGGTCTGTATGCCATGTTGGTAGCATATCACACACCCAATGCTAATGGATAATCTGTTGGTAATGGCAGTTCTACTGGATCAAACATTACTAGAAAAGTAACAGCAAAACGAAATAACCATTAATATAATATAATATAATATAATATAATATAATATAATATAATATAATATAATATAATACAATAAGGCTTCAGAAGTTTGGCAGTGTATTTTAATAAATAAAAGTGCACATTCACTCAAGACGTTTATTTAATTTTAATCAAAGCTTCAACCAAAGCTTTGATGATTAAACCACATACAGCAGTCAGCCCATGAACTCTAGCTGCTGGTGTAAAACTTGAGTACTTTGTACACCCACCATCCATTCCAGCCACCTCCTGCTGATTTTATGCAGTTCAGGAATTAATTCAGTTTAAACTCATATTTAGTACCACTCAATATGAATCGAGGCAGTGACTAGTGTTAAAAATAACATGCTTTCCAAGTTATTTTTCATTTGAGTAATTTTCTTTAAACAGGGCTGATCCTTGCTACATTTTGCTTTTTTTCTCCAATGTCTGCTACCAGACACATTTTCTGTTATATTTGAGAAGTATACTTTTAAATAAGAGCTCTTCAAAACCCTACACTGTGGGCTTCTCCTGAGACAAAGTCAAGACAACAGCCTTTCTATGCATTTTCAATGTATCCTGAGGCAGCACAGGATGGCACACTGGCACATACCATAGTTCATATTGTTTCCTCTGACTGTTCTTTCCTAAAATACCGCTGGACTTAAGATTAGAAGTCAGTAGAATCGGCAGTAGAACTGACATGTTGTCAGACTCACCCTCAGGGATTAATTCACAGTGTCTTCATGGTTCATATGCCCTCTCCTAGCTTTGCTCCTCACCTGACGTACCGCCTTTGGGTTTGAAAACTGTTGATGCTTCCATTCAAAACTGCTGGCTGTAGCTGCTCATCATCAAAATGAATCATCAACGTGAAATGCATCCAGCTTGAAACCAAAGTTGATGTTTACTATATGTCCAGGTTTGAGGTCTTTAGTGAACCTACAGAGCAGCCATCCTGGAAGCTGTCGGGACATACCTAAGAGGATAATCTTGAATTTGAGATTGACCAAATTGATATAAGACTTTTGATCTTGCAAATTGCAACACGCAAATATTAGAAATTACTTTTAGCCTTAAAGATTAATTTACGGCAAATGGTTGCACCTCCTTCAGCTTGGTGCTTTTGGAGGTTCCTTCCTGTTAAAAGGGAATTTTTCCTTCCCACTGTCACTAAAGCGCTTGCTCATAAGGGAATATGTTTGTTGGGGTTTTCTCTGTGTTATTGTGGCAAACCTTCTGGCAATGACATGTATTGGTGTACCATCCTAGAGGAGTTGGACTACCTGTGTGATCTCTGTAGGGTTCATGTATCACGTGGTAACAATAGTGGCACTGACCCTAGCCAAGTCCAAAACAATGCATAGCTTCTTATTGTTGTTCCTGTACTGCATGTATTGTTAATTTCATTTAAATGAAAGCAGTTGAGACTGATTAACAACCCCTTCTGTTACTTAACTGACCAGATCAATATCTCACAAGTTTTACTGACGTAATACCAAACTCTGGTCACTGTTACTTCATTTATTTGAGCAGTGCACTATATTGCCATTTACATTTGCACACATTTCAGTATATCACTGCAGCTTTTTACTATCTTCCTAGAAAAATATCAAGAAATGAAGGCTGATTCAAGACTTTTGCACAGCACTGTAGCTCTCACAGGGTTAAAGAAGTTCCTTCCCTTCATGGCTACAACCCTTGAACCAGCTGTCTGATCTGTTGGTGGGCACAGAGGGGGTGTCACTCATTTTTTGTGACATAAAATGTCGATTTCTGTATTGACTATGTGTGAATTAGAGCATGTAAATATTTTTTCAACACATAAATCACATGAACAGCTTGGACAGTCAACAGAGGAAACATAAATGAGTTGGGAAAAATGCGGAAAGACATTTATTTATGCACATTCTAGGATCCCATCAATCAGTAAAATGAGGCCAGATCACTAGAGAGCGACTGCTGACTGATGGCTGTGTCACTGTTTAGATGTGGGTCAGAATAAGCAGCCATCAGTCACTTCAAGGGAGACAGAACCTGGAAAGTCAGGCAGTGATGTTAAAGTCTGTAAGCTCAGATCGTAAAAGGTGAAAGAGTCTTTCTGTTCAAGGGGATAACATTGGATTTTACTGGTAATACCACCGTGAATGGAGCAGATTATGATGTGGATGTTGTTGCAGTGTACGGATGTGAGCAGAGAGAAGAGGGAATAAAAATATGGGTATTTAAACTCACCCTGGACAGGACGACCTCTAAGGTGATGTTTTGTGGAGGAGCGCTGGGTACTGCAGAGACAAATGTAAAGGAAAGGAAAATGTCAGGAAAACAAACAATACAACATATAAATCAATACGAAAATACAACAATAGCTCTAATGATATTATTTATTAATAAAAAAGGAAGCCGCTAGTGTCTTTCTGGTTGTACATTCAAACATGACTTTAAACTTTAAAATGTAACATGCTGGTTCAGTACTGAATATGCAAACAAATCTATGCTCCTGCAAAATGACAACTACACATATACATGCATGAATAGGAATGCTATTAATATTTAACGTAAAACGTTTAATTTTTAATGCTACTTTTACATTGTTATGGCTGCGATAATGTAAAAGGTCTGAAAATTACACATAACAAACAGAGCTTTAGAAAGTTAGATTTGATTTATTTCTATTTTCTGTTTTGATGGAAGTGACACGCACGAGGAAAACAGGAAGAACAGAGAGAGGATTCATGAATGTAGTGTCGAAGGACAGAGAAGAATACTACAGGGACTGGAAGAAAAAGATAATCTTCTCATGGTTTTTGGGATGTTTTGAGTTTATTCTGGACTTTTGGTTCACTTCTTTGGATTTAAGTTTGTGCTTTGTTTTTTGGTTGCATCTGAATTTAATCCAGGTTCTTGTTTTCTTACGTTAGCTCCCTTTTCATATCCAGTCTGTTCTTGTCCATGTAGTCTCCCTGTTTTATCTTCTGTCTTTGTGCCAAGGTCATGTCTTAGTCCAGGTCTCAGTACTGTCTTACTTCCTGTTTTATTTTGATAGTCCTTCATCTCATGTGTGTTCTGTCTAGTTTTGCGTCCAATTATCTTGTTTGTCTGATCACATTCATCTGTGCTCCCGAATGTTTCCCAGCTCCCTAATTAATTCATTCTTTTTAGTGCTTGTTGACTGAATAGCTGACTTCATTTGATTTCTGATCAATGCTGTCTATCACAATGATGATGTCAGCACAGAGAGGAAGCTGAGGCACCAAAGCTGTGATGTCATTCCACCTCACTGTGGCTATAGTAAGATAGTTCACATACTGAGATCAAACGTTTTTAACATGACTGCTTAAGTCCTTCTAAACCTTTCATTTGTTAAAAATTTGGTTTATTTCCTAAAAAAAAGACACCAGAAGAAACAAAGAAGGTGAAGAAGAAAAAGCTACAAAAAAAATATAAAAACATGCAAAAAGATTAAAAACATAACAAAGGCAAAAGTAAAACATACAAATACAAACAAAGGGGGGGGGGACCAAAGTGAACATGATGATCACAGGGGAAAAATGGGATGATGATGAAAGATGAAGAAAAAATACAAAAAAGAAGATATTGGGAAGAAAAAGAAAGAGTAAGCATGAAGATCAGAAGATGAAAAAGAATGAAACATAAGAGCTTTTAAGTTTAGAGAGGAAAAAACTTGGTTTTAGTACATGAAAGCACAAAAAAAGATGAAGAGGAAGATGCAAAGGAAAGAAAAATAATCAAACAAAGAGGAGAAAGCTAAAAAGAGATCAAACAAAGACAAGAAAAAAAATGAATGGATGAAATAGGAAGACAAACACAAACTGGAGGAGCTCCACCTCCCGAAGTTTCATGAAATTTGGCTCCAAAGTTTTTGTGTAATCTTGCTAACTGACTCACAGAGAGACCAAAAGCACTGAAAAACACCAGAATAAATGGAACACAAAAGAGAGGATGGTGGTGAAGAAGAAGTAGAGATGAATGAATAATAGAAGAGAGAGTTGACAGACTTCTAGAAAAAGCAGCAGATGCGTTTTTGTGTCCAGCAAAAGTGCAACATTCACACTGAGAATCAGGGAGTTTTGGTTTGAGTGAACTGTCCAATCAGATGCCTGATTAACTGTCAACGGCTTATCTGTTGATTCAGCTGCTCGCTATTTATGTCTGTGTGTGTGTGTGTGTGTCTTCCAACGTGTGTCTATGAATCAGTTTTATTGTAAATTCAATTAGCCCACAAGTCACCGTTATCATCGAGACGCAGCCGGAAGATTCACAATACAGCCGCTCTGCATCTGCAAGTGTGTGTTTGTGTTATTTCAGATCATTTTTATGGTGTGACTGCAGCTGGACACACGCCTCCGTTCTCTCTGCCTCTGTGGAAGTTTATTAATCACAGCGTCCCTCTCTGCACACCCATCAGAAGCTGAATGTTGCATTGATATTAAAGGACTCAGTCTGTGTAGAAAATGTAAAGCACACTGTCCTACCATGCAAAAGCTAGGAATAATAGCAGGAGAGTATAGGGAGCCAGAGTGAAACTAGGACTTCTGAAACCTCATTCAAGACCCCTTCAGAACTATATTTTAGAACCATTTGAAATGGATTTTCAGTAATGAAATTATAATTTAAATGCAGTTAAAATGTGTGACAATCATCAGATGTCAGATTTGTTTGCAGAGTGTGGCTAATATTAACAGTGCTAACACCAGCAGCATTTTTTCTTGGAGGGAAATGTCCACACAGCTTATGCAATATCCAACTTTGGTTGGATATTGCATAAGTCGAGTGCTTACATGCCAGTGAGTCCATTACAATTTAAACAATCATACCCACGAGGGCTAATTACTGGACCTCAAGCTAATAATGTATTCCCTTTCTTCAGGCCAAAAGGTACGTATATACTTAACAGATACTTCACTGAGAAACCTTGCTAGTGCCAGATTAGACCCCCTGATGGCTTCGGACCTGCATAAATTTTTTATGGTACACACATGAAAGCATCACATTGTTTCTGCAGATTTTCCGGCAGCATATGCATGAAGTGAAACTTTGGTCACACCACATCTCAAAGGTGCTCTACTGGACTGGTGACTGTGAATTCCCGTAATTAAAACCAAATAGAAACTAGTTTGAGATTATGCGACCTTTGCTACATGACATGTTATCAAGCTGATGAGTACACTGTGGTCATAAAGGGATTAACATGATGAACATATTCCCAAACACCATTACACATTCACCAGCAGAAAAGTGCTAATATATGGCAGGATAGATTAAGGCTTCCATGTTGATGGTGCCAAATTCTGATCCCATGCTAGGGTCAGAGTGTCACATCAGACCAGGCAACATTTTTGGACTCTACTATTTATCATTTTTGGTGAATCGGTGTGAACTATAGCGTTATTTTCCTGTTCTTATACAGAAATGGCACCCAGTCTAATCTTGTGTAGTTCTGCTTCGAGGTTTGATGTGTTGTGCGATTAGAAATGCTCTTGTGTATACCTTAGTTGTAATGAGCGGTTATCTCTGTTACTGTTACCTTCACTTCTGCTTGAAGCAGTCTGGCTATTCTCCTTTGGCCTCTCATACCAACAAGGCGTTTTCACTCAGACAGTCACCACTAACTGGAAATGTTCTCATTATTCGGACCATTCTCTCTAAACCCTAGTGATGGCTGTGTAGGAAAATCCCAACAGATCAGCAGTTACTGAAATCCTCAATCCAGCATGTGTGGCACCAACAACAATGTCAGACTCAAAGTCACTTCAATCGCCTTTTTCCCCATCCTCATCCTCAGCTTGAATTCCAGCAGCTGGTCTTGATTTTTGTCTTCATCTCTAAATGCTTGAGGTTGCTTAAACCCAAAGTTGACATCAACTGATGTACAATAAAAAAAATATTAGTTTAAGTGACTAGTCTTTCTGAGGTCAACTAGATGTGGACATCCCTAAACCTATGCTGAGTACTTTGTAATAGTCCAATTTTTCTTATGTCTACCAAGTGAACAATCCACACTGACATTTAGAACAATCCCTTTTCACCCTGAGAACGTCTAGTCTGATGTATTTATCTAGTGAAGTGTCCACTATGTGTAGGCCACAGACTCTTTAATAGTATCTGTGATAACATATTAGGCTCCCAGTGTCGCTCACTGACATTTCACTCCCTGTGTCTGTAGTGGGCAATGAAAGGTCAAATTAATCAAATCAGTGATTGTAAAAATAGAGTTGATGCCCCCCTCAGAATACGTCAAGGCTAAGGCTCTTGGATTTTTATGTGGTAACATTAAAATTGTCAAACAATCAGCGAGTAAAGGTGATTAGCTGGTCACTAAAACTAGTGCATGCAAGTATACGTTTCTTAACTTGAATCTATTTCTTTTCCTAAGTTTTCTCTGAGTATTTTAATGACTTATGAACTTCCTCGTTTCTTCCTCTTTTCTGCGCCACACATGACGAACTTTAATACTGAACCATGTGAAAGAGAAAGTGTGTGTGTGTGTGTGTGTGTGTGTGTGGACTCCATTTAATGTGTCAGGCTAAAAGGAGGTTTAAATGAAGCTGCTCCTTCCTCTGCCTACTTAATTAAAGACCCCCGAGTCTCCTAATGAAACTCCTGACAGCAAGAAGGGGGGCTGTCTATAAGAAGGGCTAAAGACTGTGTTGCTATTGGCTCTTCTGTCGGTGTCTTTCTCTCACACACATACACAGTGCCAGGTAATAGACACCACCTCGTCCAGCAGTTTTCAGATCTAAGTTGAAGTGCTGCTTGAAACTAGGACCAGTTCAAACCAGTCAGGCTGCACAAGTCACTCTTTAATATTCTGGACTCCTTGTGGTTAAGGATATTAATAACATATTAAGCATGTCTTCAAATCATCTCAAATTGGTTTCTTGAACACGACACTGTACTCAAATGGCACCCGCAATCACCAGATCCCAATCTAAGAGAGCACCTCTGAGATGTAGTGAATAAAGAGATTCAAATCTGCTGCAACTGTTTGTCATGTTCATGTCTGAGGAATATTTCTAGCACCCTGTTGAATCTGTGCCATGAAGAATGAAGGAAAAAGGCGGTCCAACCCAGTACTAACAAGCTGTACTTTATAATTTGGACGTTGCTTCAGGGTCTGAAAAGTGAAACTACTGTGTCTTAAAATGAGGTCTGGTTATCTTTCGCTGATATAGTCATCAGAATCGGGATCAGAGTCTAGATTGTTTCAAAAATAGCATGACATTAAAGATGTAGTCACTTTGTGTGAGCTAAATGTGGTGGTTATGGTTATGTGACTAAACATATTCATAACCCATCGAAACAAAATTTAAGACAATTTATTGATCATAAAAATGCACTTTGTGCAAATTTGTATTTCAGACTTTTGAGGACCCAGCTGAATAAAATGTATGTTGCACGGGTGATGTATGGCCTGAGCGGAAGAATTTTCAGCGTGGACTGCCTCAGACTGAGATAAGACATCAACAAAGTGAAAACACTCGTTTTATAACAAGTCCCAGCTTGCAAAAAATAAAATAAAAATCCTCTTCAGATTCTTTTAAACTGGATGGGTTAAGTTCACTCTTGAACATCCACCAAAATCAATACTTTCTTCAATAACCACAGTGACAACTTCCATTGAGATCATGTCCTTGGTATTTCAGAGAGAGTGGATTTTTAACAGCCTATTGTGGGCAACTTTAAAAAAAAAAAAAGGCCTGTGCTCCAGTGTGTCATTGTTGTGCTGTTGTTAGAAATTAACAGTGGATGTGGCTGGAAGGAATAGAAGCAATAGAAGCAATAGATCCTGTAAATATAATAAATTAGTTTTTCCTTTTGTTACTGTATGACGCTGACAATTCTTTCAAGAAGTTCTGTACTTATTACTGTACTGTGTTTAATCAGTCTAGCCAAAAATTATATATATACAGCACAACCCAAAGAAGACAGTGAGCTGCTATTTTAACCCTCCAATTTTGTCCACCAATTTTCCAGAGATGTATTAACGGTGAGGGTTAGGTTAGAATCTTTGGTCACCCCTCGTTTCGTTATAGTTTGCATTCAGGATGCCAGACTTTCTTGTATTTTCTCAAAGTGTTCTTGCACAACAGTTCAAAAGTTGTTGGTAAAAGTTGGCATATTTCAGCATGCTGTGCACTGCATCCTTACAAAATCTGAGGCAATGAGAAGCGTAAAGAGCAAAGGAAAAGGTTGCAGGCCTTAAAAACTATCTACACCAGATGAACAGGATCTGAAAGTGATGTCCTTAAGAAATAGGGGGAAAAAAAATCAGTTTCACTGAATGGGTGGCTGTCAAGAAGCCATTCTTACAACCTGTAAAACACAGTGGAGGCTCTGTCACGGTTTGGGGATGCCTTGCATCCAGTGGTTTTGCAGATCTTATCAAAATGTATTAAATTACGAATGCAGAAAAGTACCATCAGATTTTGATCCCCCATGAAAAACCAGGGTAAAAGTATCTGATCCATCATATATTGGCCTTCCCAGAGCCCAGATCATTATGAAATAGTTTGTTATATTTTTTTCCAGATAATGGAACAAAAGGCCTGGCGAATTCTGGAGATGTTTTCCTGAAGACTACTGTGGGAATAGTGGACAAGATGTGCACAGAACTATATCTACTCCTTTATAAAGAAGTTTTACCTCTTTGCGTACCCAAATGTGATTCATACAACACAAGTGCTGTTCACCGGTGAGTGAGTGGATGTTAAGGTTACTATCAAAACTGAGAAAAGAAGATGAAAGAGTGAATAATGGGACACTGAAGACCAGTGGAATTTCAGTGACAGAGAAAAAGCCCCTGTGACTTTCCTTCTGTTATAACATGGTCATGTCATGTTTCATTTCCTTATACATGTGATTTTCCACACTGAATAAATGAGGAAATGTTAAGACACAGCTCACCATCTGATTGGGTGGTGACACTGACGGCATCTGAGGCAGTCCCTGGTCCATAGCGATTGATGCCCAAAACTCGAACTGTGTACTCTGTGAACTTGTTGAGTCCCTCCATCTTGTAGTTTTGTCCATTCACCTCCACACTCTGAACACAAACACAGAGTATTGATTACATTCAACAAACAACCGAATAAGGTCAAATAAACTCCAAAACAATCACTCAGACTATCTAAAGCATCATACTCCATTGGTGATGGAGCTCACCTGCTCCTTGCCCGACGGGCTCTCGGTCCACAGCAGCCTGTAGCCCAGGATGGGGCCGTTCGGAAAGCTGGGTGGCTCCCAGCTAACCTGAACGGAGGTTGGAGAAAGAGCCAATGCTCGGAGAGACTCCACCTTGCTGGGAACTTGGACTGAAGGCACACACAAACACTTCTGTTACCAGTGCTGCTACTTTTAGACATGTGTTACCTTTACTGCAGGGACAGAATGATCTGATTTTCATGAGAGTCAAGAGGATAGCTAGCTATCATTTTAAAATAAAGGCCTATTTCACTCCAGTATCACTAAATTTAAGCATAGACAGGTTTAATGTCTTAAGAGAAAAAAAAGGAAATATACTGACCGGAAAATCAGATGCATTTTTAATGATTTGACATTTAGATTTTCAATAGCTTAGACAACCCACTGAGTGAGCCTGCTATAGTAACATCTGGCCTATATAACTCGGACATTATTCAAGGCCAAATGTGGGCCACATCTGGGCCAGAAATTCCTTGTTTTCCACCTGAGTGAGATCACAAGAAAGGAGGTGTAAGGAACCAACAACAGCCATGGATCCATCCATGCATCACAGCAAGTCTGGGTCTTTCTACCTATTTTCTCCTTCTGCTATTGGCTAACAGAGAACTCCATAGCTTGATGTTGATCTTAACAGTCTGCCTCACTGAGCTCAACTGTAGTCTGACCCAAAATATGAAATAATGTGCAAAAAGAAAAAGAAAAAGAAGTTTTATACAGATGACTGAGCTTGTGTGTTTGTGTGTGAAGGAGTGTTTGTGTCTTACGATCAGGTTTTGTGGTGATCTTGAGGGGGGCGGAGCTCTCTCCTGGCCCAACATCGTTATAAGCGACAACTCTGAAGCTGTAGCTCTCCTCCGGCTTCAGGTTGGAAACTGTCAGCTCCAGAGACTCCGGCTCTGACACGTTCACTGACCTCTCCCTAACATGGAAAAAAGCACCACGGATTAACTGCTAATTACAGGAAAAACAAGAAAAGAAAGGAAAAAGAACCAACTGTCTTTTCCCGAAAGTAATTGTAATTACATGTAACAACTACATCCTTTTTTTTTATTTAGGGTTTTATTTAAATAGACGTAAACTGGGAGGTAATCCCAGTCCATCTCCACTTTGTAACAGCACAGATAATCGCTGCTGTAATCAGCTGCAATCTGTGTAATCCCTCACTGTCTGCTGCTAATCCTCAGATTACAGCACCTCTGCAGCCTCGCAGTTCTCAACTAATCGCCAGACCACAGATGAGACAAACCCAGATGCGATGATTAGCATGTTTCCACAGTAACATCAAACACACACACACACACACACACACACACTGGGGCTTCAGTTCACTGTAAGGAAAACATGCTGTTGCATTTTTTATAAAGAATACTGAAAATATTCCTGGAGATAAAACATAAAAGGAAACTTTATGTTAGCAGGATTTTGCTTCCTTTTGATGAAAACAGATAAAACATCCCTGCACTCATGTTCACTGCATGCCAAATCTTGACTTCACCACTGAGAAGCACAAAAGAACTTTGTAACTCATCCTTAATTCAGACAGAAGGGAAATGGGAACTGCTCAGATATGTACTGTAAATAAATTACTGTAGCCGGGGATGGTGTGAAAGGTTTTAAATAAGCAGTAATGAATTCAGTGCAATTAAAAGCTCATCATTAGTTCAATGTGCATGTCTGTTCAGCTCATTTCAAGAAGGTTTAACATAAGGAAAGACTCTCGCAGTCATAGCTTAGAGGTGTGGGACAAATACAAATGAACTTTATGTCTGTTAACTGTAGATTTGCAACAGGGCTCTGTTAGCCTACCTTAACGTAAGACACCGTAAAGTGTCAGCTTGTTGCTTTTAGAGGGAAATATTTAATGGCAAACAATCCACTTGTAAAGTCATTTTCCAGGCCCAAAATCTTTGCTACTTCCCTAAATTAAAAAACACTGAGGCACAGTTTCAGTTGCTTTTAGCTTCAGTCAAATTGTCTCTTCCTGAGCTACCCATTTCCAATACTGTTTTACATCACGTTTTCCCCAGTGAAACACTGCAAATGAGTGAGTAAAACCTCCCAGAGAATTGTCTTACACCCACCTCACAAAGTTAAAAGCAGTTTTCCAGCCTCTATTATATGTTTTTTCTTTTCTCTGTGGCAATTTCCATCATATTCCACTCCAGTCTGCACATTTATAACAGTGACTTTGTGGTGACTTGTAAGTTATATATTCCACTGGACGTAGCATGGTGTCAACAGCTACATACGGTGACAAGTTGAACTTGGCCTATAATGCCAGTCTTCCCTTTTTTCCTTTACAGCAGCTGGATAAAACCTGTAGTTTAGAAAACTGTCTATCCTGCAGCTTAGTCTTTTAAATAATAGAGAGGATTTAAATTTGTCTCAATATGTACAAAATGCAGAGCAGTCACAAGTAAAATGTGTCTGTTCTCTAAGAAGTAGTTCTTTATAACTCCTACAAATTGCAGATTTAAAAAAACAGATATAATATGTTCATTTATAAGCATTTCGGCTGTATTTTAAAATTACAGGAAAAGAACCCTTAGCTGTTTCTCTTCTCATTACAAAAGCACGGATCAATCAGTTCAAAAGGTGAGAACACATTTCTTCTTTTGTTTGTTGTGCAAGCCTGACACAAACGTGTCTCATTCCCTGCTTGTCACATATAAACTCTGTTAAAAACGGCACTAGACTCACATTTAAATGTGGATTAAACCAATGTGTCAGGTTATTGTTGTTAAACCTAACATGTTAGACAACTACAGGCAGTGTTTAGGGCTTCAATCTAACCAGCAAATGGAAAAGAAAAGAAAAACCACAGACAAACAAATGGTACATAAATCTCAGTCTTCTGGCTGATAATCAGAAATGGGGGTCTCCATTTTAATGGCAGTGGCTGGAGCTGTATGAGTCAACTTCATTTATACATAGATAGACGACAAAAAATAGGACTTCCTGGTAAGTTATAAAAATCTGTTACTGTTACTTGATTTCATTTACTTCTTGTACTGCCGTTGTCTAATATGGGTGGATATAAAGCAGTTCAGCAACAGGAATCATGTGAAAAACTAACCCCTTTCAACCACCGTTTTGTCTTAGAGCGGGGTCCAGGTACTGACTCATAAGGACACCTTATCAGCAGCATCTCCTGTCAGATGCAGAAGCAGTATTCTGTTATTGTAGTTGAATTGGCTTTTATTGTTAAGGGGCATGTGGCAGAGGCAAGATTGAGGCTAATCGTGTGTATTACAATGGGATTTTTGACAAAATGAGCAACCTTGATGATGAATGCAAATGGGAGAATGCATGGGGGAAAGCAATAAGCCTCCTAAACCAAACCACCACCTACCTTTAACTTTCCACTACAGCTATAGTTTTGCTATTTGAATAAAGTGAATTGGACTGAGTGTAACAATTTATCTGGTGTTCTAAAGACATTAAGTTTTTAAGGGTTGTTTTTTAACTGGTTGTTGAGCCTTTACTGCTTTTTGATAAGGATGAACCCTAACCCTAAAGGGTAAAATGGACATATTACTATCTTTAAAGTTTGTCAGAATGTTTTTGTCTTTGCTCACTGACTGTCATTTCTTTTGAGGACAATATAATAAAAACATCAATTATATATTGATATAATTGATCGGCCAGAGGGGCCGATGGCGCGATATGGCAGCCTCGCTTCTATCAGTCTGCCCCAGGGCAGCTGTGGCTACAACTGTAGCTTGCCTCCACCAGTGTGTGAATGCAAGAGTGAATGAATAGTGGAATTGTAAAGGGCTTTGAGGGTCTCAAAAAGCGCTATATGAATGCTATCCATTATTATTATTTATTCAGATTGCTCAGGGTTGTGTTTAGGGTCATCATGTGGTTAACTACACCATATTTGGGTTTTACTTGAGAATTCCATTCTAAAGGTTCATTTACCAAGATCTTTATGTAATTCCACACACTGCCACTGAGAGAAGATTGTTGCATGTGGCAGGTTCAATGACAAAGCGGCCTGCTCATACTATGATTAAAACGGATGTAGCATTTGCTGCGCTTATCCTCTTTAAGCTTCCCACAATTGTTCAATAAACAACTTACACCATGTGCAGTATATCAGCCATTCTGAACGAGGACCTTAGGTGATTTTTTTGGGGGGGCAGTTTGTCAAGAGGTTATCAGAATTTATCATCTGCAGACCACAGATGTACACGGTAAATTACATGGCAATCTGACACACTGACAGAGCACCAAATCAAGCGCTATCACCGGCAGCAGCAGTGACACACAAAGGTTAAAGAAAACACAAAAGGTGAGTGGAGTTCTCGGGGTATATAAATCCATGGGGTTTTTTTCCAAGGCTGCCGAGTAAAAAGGCAGAGACACAAAGCTGGATGTGGAGGTAACCAGCAGGCTGGATACAGAGTGAACTCTGTTTGGCCTTGAAAAGGCCACCGTGTGAGGGCAGTAAGTCAGCTCGAACAGGAATAACCCACGGAGAGAGAAAAAAATAGTTCTTCCTCTGCTTACATCTTTACTGAGTCCTTCTCATCTCGCTGGCCTTTCTTAGTCATTTTCCCCCGCTCTCTAAGGATCTCACCTCTTTCTGTTTTTATCTCTCCTTTTCCTTACCCTCCAGACTTTTTGCTCCACCCTAATCTCATCAGCCTTGGGGTCGCAATATAGCTGCAGTTTAGCAGCAACAACATCGCTCTCAAGTGAGACTAAATTCCACCATGGCACTAAAACCCCACCTGCACTAAACAGGCTTTCTAAATTTATAAATAGCATTATTAATTTACCGCCTATTGTCCCATACTGCTGGCACATTTTCACTCTGAGCATTTGGTTTACTCCTTTAACATTACAAACTGCATTTGCAGCTTCAATGTACCTACAATTACAGCATTCAAAAGCTTCACATTAAACTCTAAATAACACACATCAATGCATGTAATTAGAAAATATACTGCTAATGTTAAAAGGAGATTTTGAAAACATCACCATGCAGCAGGCTAGTTCATTTTGCCAAAATTTCCTTGCAACAACTGAAAATGGTGCTCAGTAGTTTATATGCTGCGTAACTGTAACCGGAAGGTCGCCGGTTCGATCCCCGGGCTCTCTGTCCTGGTCGTTGTGTCCTTGGGCAAGACACTTTACCCTACCGCCTACTGGTGTTGGCCAGAGGGG